GCCAAATTTGAGCAGGTACACTGTAGCATCCATCATCCGGACATTCCGAAATGAGAATAGGTAAGAAACCTACTCTCACTAGAAAATTGCAGTACTGCATATCAATACAGTTCTCAATTAGTACAGTAGTATAGTATTGCCTGTGGACTGTTCTGTAGGACTGTAAAAATAAAGTATGTTTCAAGTATTTGGGAAATTTATTTCTACTTTGTATTTACAGCATTTTACTATTTGTTTGGCAGAACTGAAAGATTACCAACACAAGGTGGTCGGGAACGTGTTCTGTCTCCTGAACAGGAAACTGAAATCATAAACATGGTCCAAGAAAATAACGCCATAACATTACGGCAAATACAAAGAAAAAGAATAGAAAACAATGAGATATTTCAAAATATTGATAGGGTAAGCTTATCAACACTGGACCGTGTCTTGCGCAGAAATAATCTCAGGATGAAGCAGGTCTACAGGGTGCCATTTGAACGCAATTCAGAAAGAGCCAAAGAATTGCGATATAACTATGTGCAAGTGAGTCCTATTCAATCCCACAATTGATGCATACTCTCAACACTGTATAAATTATACATATTTCAGTATTGTAATCATAATGATTGTGCTTCACAATAGTGACCACTCCATGTCTATTTCTGATATTGTCATGTGTGTTTCAGAGAGTCCTTGAGCTAGAGGTGGCTGCAGTGGAGCACCAGTTCATCTTCATTGATGAGGTTGGATTCAACCTCACAAAAAGACGAAAGAGGGGAAGGAATATCATCGGCCAGCGTGCCATTGTTCAAGTCCCTGGCCAGTGCGGAGGGAACATCACAATGTGTGCAGCGATTACCCACCACGGCGTCATCCATCACCATGCTACCCTTGGCCCCTACAACACCGCCCATCTGATCACATTCCTGGACACCCTACACAACACACTCATTCCACCAGATCAGGTAGATGGCCCAGAGCAGCTCAGGTACGTTGTCATTTGGGACAACGTAAGTTTCCACAGGGCTGCTCTGGTTCGTAACTGGTTCACTGCCCACCATTGCTTTGTAGTTGTTTATCTCCCTCCATATTCTCCATTCCTCAAGCCTATTGAGGAATTTTTTTCTGCCTGGAGATGGAAAGTGTATGACCGAAATCCACAAACGCGTATACCTCTTCTCCAAGCTATGGAAGACGCATGTGGAGATATAGCAGCTGATGCTTTTCATGGCTGGAATCGCCATGCTAGGCGATATTTCCCCCGCTGCTTCGCCAGGGAAAACATTGCTTGTGATGTGGATGAGGTGCTGTGGCCAGACCGCAACAGAAGAGAGGATGCAGCATAGTTTTTTTTTTTTTTTTTTTTTTTACTGTAACTGTATACATTAAATTATTTTGTTTTGTATGTAGACCACTGTATGTGTAACTTTGTGTTGGTTGGGAATGGGATGTACACTGTGTACATTGTTTTTGTGGGAAAAATGAAATATATTTGTTACCGTGTATTTGTGTGTTCTGAGTATAAAAACAATATTCTCAAATATTTTACAACACACTTATGTATGTACTGTCTGTAGTAATGACAACACTGAACCAAAAAAAGGCCTAAGTCATTATTATGAATGGAGAAGAAGTGTTTTCCATTCATCATAGTGTTTTACATTGAGCACATCAGTGTTCAACTGGTTCTTATAAATGTATATTCATATGATGGTTTGTGTGTGTCATTTGAAAACAAAATTCAATTTTGATAAGAAATAACATTGTTTTGAATGTAAAGTTTCATTTTGCTGGAGAATTGAGGGGTTTTGCCCATTGTGTGTGTGTTTTTTGATTTGTGTGTAGAGTTCTGAGAATATGAGGCATGCTTTCAGAAAATGTGTGTAAACAATCGAGAAAAACTGTAAAGTAGTTGACAATATCAGTTGGTTTTGTGATGAATGAGCCATCTGATTCAATGAATGATGGAGCTGTCACTTCCTCATCCTGTCCTCCATCCAGTCCAATAGCAACTCAGCAACTCCTCCTTCTCTCCAATCAGCTGGCTGCGCTCGGTCCCCAGAGCTGCGATCTGATTGGTGTGGATGACTCTCTCCGCTCCTAGCTCGTGCAGGTGAGCCAATGAGGACTCCAGCCCCTGTTTGGTCATATCCAGCTGTGATAGAAGAAGAAGAAGAAGAAGAAGAAGTCTTTGTCTGTTTTCACAGTACTGTCACATGCCACAAACCATAACCAACCAGCATCCATTCATATCTCTCACAGTCATTAGTTTCTCCTTCATCTGCAGTCTCCTGCCCCTGCCTGTTGGTGTGGGCCTTGGCCTCAGCCAGCTGGTCGCTGAGCTCACACACCTGTCCCTCTGGTCCCTCTCCAACTGCAGCTCCAGACCCCGAGTGGGGTTGTCTTTAACCAAGGCTGTACAAAATAGTTTTGTACAATGAGGTTACTTTGAAATACAGTACTTGTCTAGCATACCTCTCCGTAAAAGTTTTCTTGTGTAACAGGTAAGGTTTTGCTCAGTGGGTTGTTGTTAGTTCTTGGGGCTGCAGATTTGGTAACGCTACCCCTCTCCAGACTCGATCTCATCTTTAATATGTCCATCTCCAGCTGAAGGACCCTTCAATGTAAGCATTCAAGTATAAACTTTAATTGCAGTGCATTCGGAAAGTATTCAGACCCCTTCAATTTTTCCACATTTTGTTGCGTTACAGCCTTATTCTAAAAGGGATTATTTTTTGTATATCCTCATCACTCTACACACTATACCCCATAATGACAAAGCAAACACAGGTTTTTATAAATATATAGACACCTGTCTATATAAAGGTCCCACAGTTGACAGTGCATGTCAGAGCAAAAATCAAGCCTTGAGGTGGAAGGAATTGTCCCTAGAGCTCCGAGACAGGATTGTGTCGAGGCACAGATCAGGGGAAGGGTACCAAAACATTTCTGCAGCATTGAAGGTCCCCAAGAACACAGTGGCCTCCATCATTCTTAAATGGAAGAAGTTTAGAACCACCAAGACTCTTCCTAGAGCTGGCCGCCTGGCCAAACTGAGCAATCGGGGGAGAAGGGCCTTGGTCAGGGAGGTGACCAAGAACCCGATGGTCACTCTGACCGAGGTCCAGAGTTCCTCTGTGGAGATGGGAAAACCTTCCAGAAGGACAACCATCTCTGCAGCACTCCACCAATCAGGCCAGACGGAAGCCACTACTCAGTAAAAGGCACATGACAGCCCACTTGGAGTTTGCCAAAAGGCACCGAAAGGACACCCAGACCATGAGAAACAAGATTGAACTCTTTGGCCTGAATGCCAAGCTTCACGTCTGGAGGAAACAAGGCATCGCTCATCATCTGGCCAATGCCATCCCTACGGTGAAGCATGGTGCTGGCAGCATCATGCTGTGGGGATGTTTTTCAGCGGCAGGGACTGGGAGACTAGTCAAGATCGAGGGAAAGATGAACGTAACAAAATGTGGAAAAAGTGAAGAGGTCTGAATACTTTCCAAATGCACTGTATACATAATTATTGTTGTTTATTAAGTGTATGTTTATTGCCATTCTATTTGGGCGCCGAGTGGCGCAGTGGTCTAAGGCTAGAGATCCTGGTTCGAATCCAGGCTCTGTCGTTGCCGGCCGCGACTGGGAGACCCATGGGGCGGCGCACAATTGGCCCAGCGTCGTCCAGGGTAGGGGAGGGAATGGACGGCAGGGATGTAGCTCAGTTGGTAGAGCATGGCGTTTGCAACGCCAGGGTTGTGGGTTCGATTCCCACGGGGGGCCAGTATGAAAAATAAAAAATATATAAAAAAATAATGTATGCACTCACTAACTGTAAGTCGCTCTGGATAAGAGCGTCTGCTAAATGACTAAAATGTAATGTAAAATATTTGTATCCTAGCCAGCAATAATTGCCCCTCATGGATTAATACAGTTTATTAAAGTTAATTTAAATGAAGATCTCCTAGGGAACACATTTACATCAGGCCCTCTTTGCCATGAATGCCATTCTTAACGGCTTAGTCGTCATCCTCACTTGTCTTGCAGTTCTCCACGTCGTCGGCTCTCCTCAAACCGACTCAACTCAACCACCTCCTTCTCCTGCTCAACAGCACCCACTGCATCTGCCAGCTGCTGTGGGACACACTAGAGTCTGGGTGAGGAAAGGCCAGAAAGAAGGTAGCAAATAGTCACAAAAAGGGGAGCCACAAATACCAATAATTCAGTAATGATGATGATGAAGGAAGAAGAAGAAGAAGAAGAAGAAGAAGAAGAAGAAGAAGAAGAAGAAGAAGAAGAACTGATCCCAGCACTGATCCCCTTCCCTTATGTTGTGTTTCATCTCCAGTAGCTGTGCGGTACTACTACTGTGCTGCAGCTGTGTGTCTGTTCTTCAGCAGGTCTGTCTGGCTGTCCAGACGTCCATGGGCCTCCCAAGCCTCTGCCCTCACCTGGTGCTCATTTTGGACAGGGACCTGTATTATAACGCAGCTATTTGCTACTTTAGTTTTTTACTTCAGTTTATTTAGTAAATATTTTCTTAACTCTATTTCCTTGAACTGCATTGTTGGTTAAGGGCTTGTAAGTAAGCATTTCACGGTAAGGTCTACACCTGTTGTATTCAGCGCATGTGACAAATATGATTTGATTTGATTTGACAGTGAGAATCACAGCAAAGCCACTGACTGAGTCCAAAATGGAATAGGACACTGACATCATCACCTAGCTTTGAGACAATCTCAGTTGGTTGTTGCACATAAATCATGTGTGGAGTTATGAGCACAATAAATCTCTGTATTTAGTCATATAGCCCTTCTCTCATTCACACCATATTCTGTGACTTTATAAGTATTTTATCAACCAAACATTACTGTCAAATCATCACATTATAATTTATTTACTCCATAAAAATAAATGTGATAAAATCATACATTTTATTGTGCAGTGTGTTTCATATCTGGTCAAATAGATGGCTTGATGCCCCCTGCAACTGTGATGACTTTTATTTATAAATGTGTATGGCTAAGCGCGCCGGAAGTTGTACGACCCTAGCTCATGCTACTGAAACGAAGCTAACCATTCAATCAAGGACGATTTATTCAATACATTTCGTTAAAGTTGCCCATTTGGACAACAGTTCAAAGTCTAACTTAAAACAGTCGTTATACGGAATATCACAAAAGGTATGCTAATTTCTCCATGAAACAATAAGGCATGTATTGCCATTCTGAACGAGAACATGAGACGTCAGAGCAGAAGCCATGTTGGTTAGCCAGAATTCGCTAACTAGCTGTTAGCTGAGAGCTTGCAAACCTGACTCTTTTCATTAATATTACACAAAATCATTAGCTAATTCACACTCGGTTGCAACTGACATTCTATAGCGTGTTATTGAACTAGCTAGCTACATGTGTTTTTACTAGTAAAGATGCTAGCTAAATTAACTAGTAGAAAACAATTGGCTAACTAGCTACATCTTCAGTAACCGTTAGCTAGTTGGGTAAGATAGCAGAGCTTCTTTAATGCTGAATTCATATTATATTTAGTCTAGCATTGGCCTAACTCAACTCTGGATTTCGAAGCCAGTTCCACTGCGTTTTTTTCATTGTTCCCCTCTAATCAGGGACTGATTTAGACCTGGGACACCAGGTGTTCCAAGAAATTATCACTTAGAACACCAAACCAGCAGGCTCCGGACCTCGTAGGGTAAGAGTTGAATACCCCTGCTAGTAGAACGCAACCCTTCTTATGATATGTGTTCATGAGATTCACTAAAAACACGCCACTTCAATACAGCTACCACCGGAGGAGCCTTTTCATTGCAGGTTAGGAGAATTAACGTAGCAGGTTAGGATAATTAGGTTAAGGTTAGGAAAAGGGGTAATGCTCTCTGAACCTGCCATGAAATGTCACTTCCGGGCATAGCTGTATCAAAGTGGCGTGTGTTCTTCTCATTTTGACTATACAGGATGGCTGCAGACTGGTTGGGTAGTCTGGTGTCGATAAACTGCGGAGCAACGCTAGGGGTATACCAAGGCGAGGTGTCGTCTGTGGACCAGTCCAGTCAGACCATCTCCCTCAGACAGCCCTTCCACAATGGAGTCAAGTGCCCTGTGCCCGAGGTCACTTTTAGGTACTACTGTTTATAGTTTACTCAAATCTTTGTAGCACTAAGTTAATCTTAATAACTCCATTGTAGGCAATGCTTGACTTGGGCAGGAGCTCACCGGAACTGTGTACCCACAGAATATTAACTCAAAAGTATTGCAGAGTTCCTGAACCTAAATATAAACAGTACCGGCACCCAAAATGAGTACTGGCACCTATTTTCAGTCCAAGGCAAACACTGGTTGTTGCCAATGGATGAAAGATGATCTTAGCACTACAAAGCTTTCAGGAAACTCACCCTTGTCTATTATGACGATGTGACATTGTCCTACATGTGCAAACCAACAGGGATGGAATGTAAGGATTTTAGGGACTGGCTAACCGGGCTAGTAGACATTTTTACTAGCCACGGTCCAAAATGTGTGCCATGGGATATTTGAAAAGACAACATTTCCCTAGCCAGCTAGTTGGGCACATTTTCTTCTAGCCCTTTCTGAAAAGTACTAGCCTCGGGCTAACGGGCTAGCTTAATTTCCATCCCTCCTCAGACCCCAAAAGACAGGTTATGTTTCACACTTCCCAAATGTACACAGCATCAATTCATTCAGGAGAAAAGACCTTCAAAGTTTTCAAACCAATTACCTTTATCTGATTGTGTACCAGGGTTGAGATCAATTCTATTTTCACTTATCCAGAATTCCCTGTTGTCTACCACAGTGCCATGCCAACTAAAGCAAAGCCTTTATATGACTGTCTATTCTACCACAATGCAAAGGATATCAGCCTTTATTAGACTGTCTATTCTCCCACAATGCAATGGACATCAGCCTTTATATGACTCTATTCTCCCACAATGCAATGGACATCAGCCTTTATATGACTCTATTCCCCCATAGTGCCATGGACATCAGCCTTTATATGACTCTATTCTCCCATAGTGCCATGGACATCAGCCTTAATATGAATCTATTCTCCCATAGTGCCATGGATATCAGCCTTAATATGACTCTATTCTCCCATAGTGCCATGGACATCAGCCTTAATATGAATCTATTCTCCCATAGTGCCATGGACATCAGCCTTAATATGACTCTATTCTCCCATAGTGCCGTAGACATCAGCCTTAATATGACTCTATTCTCCCATAGTGCCATGGACATCAGCCTTTATATGACTCTATTCTCCCATAGTGCCATGGACATCAGCCTTAATATGAATCTATTCTCCCATAGTGCCGTAGACATCAGCCTTAATATGACTCTATTCTCCCATAGTGCCATGGACATCAGCCTTTATATGACTCTATTCTCCCATAGTGCCATGGATATCAGCCTTAATATGACTCTATTCTCCCATAGTGCCATGGACATCAGCCTTTATATGACTCTATTCTCCCATAGTGCCATGGACATCAGCCTTAATATGACTCTATTCTCCCACAATGCAAAGGATATCAGCCTTTATTAGACTGTCTATTCTCCCACAATGCAAAGGATATCAGCCTTTAGTATACTGTCTATTCTCCCACAATGCAATGGACATCAGCCTTTAGTATACTGTCTATTCTCCCACAATGCAATGGACATCAGCCTTTATATGACTCTATTCTCCCGTATTGCCATGGACATCAGCCTTTATATGACTCTATTCTCCCATAGTGCCGTGGACATCAGCCTTAATATGACTCTATTCTCCCATAGTGCCATGGACATCAGCCTTAATATGACTCTATTCTCCCATAGTGCCATGGACATCAGCCTTAATATGACTCTATTCTCCCATAGTGCCGTGGACATCAGCCTTAATATGACTCTATTCTCCCGTATTGCCATGGACATCAGCCTTTATATGACTCTATTCTCCCATAGTGCCGTGGACATCAGCCTTAATATGACTCTATTCTCCCGTATTGCCATGGACATCAGCCTTAATATGACTCTATTCTCCCGTATTGCCATGGACATCAGCCTTTATATGACTCTATTCTCCCATAGTGCCATGGATATCAGCCTTAATATGACTCTATTCTCCCATAGTGCCATGGACATCAGCCTTTATATGACTCTATTCTCCCGTATTGCCATGGACATCAGCCTTTATATGACTCTATTCTCCCATAGTGCCATGGACATCAGCCTTAATATGAATCTATTCTCCCATAGTGCCGTGGACATCAGCCTTAATATGACTATTCTCCCATAGTGCCATGGACATCAGCCTTAATATGACTCTATTCTCCCATAGTGCCATGGACATCAGCCTTAATATGACTCTATTCTCCCATAGTGCCGTGGACATCAGCCTTAATATGACTCTATTCTCCCGTATTGCCATGGACATCAGCCTTAATATGAATCTATTCTCCCATAGTGCCGTGGACATCAGCCTTAATATGACTCTATTCTCCCATAGTGCCATGGACATCAGCCTTAATATGACTCTATTCTCCCATAGTGCCATGGACATCAGCCTTAATATGACTCTATTCTCCCATAGTGCCGTGGACATCAGCCTTAATATGACTCTATTCTCCCGTATTGCCATGGACATCAGCCTTTATATGACTCTATTCTCCCATAGTGCCGTGGACATCAGCCTTAATATGACTCTATTCTCCCGTATTGCCATGGACATCAGCCTTTATATGACTCTATTCTCCCATAGTGCCATGGATATCAGCCTTAATATGACTCTATTCTCCCATAGTGCCATGGACATCAGCCTTTATATGACTCTATTCTCCCATAGTGCCATGGACATCAGCCTTAATATGACTCTATTCTCCCATAGTGCCATGGATATCAGCCTTAATATGACTCTATTCTCCCATAGTGCCATGGACATCAGCCTTTATATGACTCTATTCTCCCATAGTGCCATGGACATCAGCCTTAATATGACTCTATTCTCCCATAGTGCCATGGATATCAGCCTTAATATGACTCTATTCTCCCATAGTGCCATGGATATCAGCCTTAATATGACTCTATTCTCCCATAGTGCCATGGATATCAGCCTTAATATGACTCTATTCTCCCATAGTGCCATGGACATCAGCCTTAATATGACTCTATTCTCCCATAGTGCCATGGATATCAAGGAGCTGAAGGTCCTGGACATAGGTAGTAGCAGAGGTGGTGTGGTTCAGAAGAGCAGCGCTCCAGTCTCGGTCCCACACATAGGAGACCACAGGACCCAGGAGAGGCTGGCTTCACCACAGCAGCAGTGCTCTACAAGCTCTGGAGATAAACACCTGGAGGTGTCAGGCCAGCCCAAGGGCTTCAGACGGAGACACAACTCCTGTAAGTACCAGCACACTGCAGGGTTTTGTTCATTAGGGCACCAAGTTGGAAGAAAAACGGACTGAAACAGGGTGGGACTAAATAAGACTCAATAAGGACTTAATAAGAAACACTAATTTGAGTTTTTAGGAAATTGCTGCGAAAAGCTGTGTGCCCTAATAATCGCGAGCCAAGTTTACCTCAGTTGTTGAGGACCACAGACTAGGTAGGGTTTGGTAGCTATCTACTAATGATGAATCATAAATTAATACAATGTTGCATATTGTGTCAGCAGTCTCAGCTTTCTAAACTTATTTTTGGTATCACAGGGTCGTCCAGTAGTCGGGGCGCCAACCAGGTCACCCCCAAGAAGAACGGAGGAGGAGGAGGAGGAGGATGGGGTCAGAGGCAGCACAGGGACGATGAGTGTTTCGGGGGCAATATGGACGACAGCCTGGACACAGACTTTGACTTCGAGGGGAACCTGGCGCTGTTCGACAAAGCGGCCGTGTTCTCACAGATCGACGGGTCGGATCGCCACGGTAACGGGGCCCGGTCACGCGCTATGCCGCAGGTGCAGACGTCGTCGCAATACCGTCACAATGACAACATTCTAGAGACCAAACCTGTGGGGTACAGGCAGATACTTGTCCCACATCCTGGGGATAAAGAGTATTGCACTGGTATGTAGATTATCTTCTCCTTTCTGATGAATGGAACGATAAGCCTAGGCACCGTCGGATTTCCTCATTTTAGATGGTGCCTATTTTTTTCATTTGTTTGGGAACAATTTACAAATTCTGTAATATATAATATATGTAATTTAGCAGACGCTTTTATCCAAAGAGGCTTACAGTCATGCGTGCATACATTTTACGTATGGGTGGTCCCGGGAATCAAACCCACTATCCTGGCATTGCAAGCTACAAAGGACCTCATAAGGCAGAGAGAACTGTCGTTAGGGAAAAGGAAGTGCTGTCGCTCGCTACCTTTCTTTCTAACCAATGAACAGTGGAGCAGCAGAAGATGAAGAAATATCAGTCTTTCAATTTTTCAAGTGTTAACTGTCTTCTGTGATTAGCAGCTAAGGTCTCCCTCTCTCCCCTTACCCTCTGTGGTTGTGTAGATTGGGGCCTGGTGGTGCCTAGTATTTCCTACGAGCTGCACAAGCGTCTGTTGTCAGTAGCTGAGCGTCATGGCCTCTCATTGGAGAGGAGGCTGGAGATGACAGGTGTTTGTGCCAGTCAGATGGCCCTGACGCTGCTGGGCGGGCCCAACAGGTAAGCACACAAACTTAGACGCCATCACACTCGTAAATCGTTCAAATAAATTACAAATATGCTCTAAATGAGTCCATGCCCCAGGCCGTCTGTTTTGTAGATCCAAGTATTTACAACCATTTAAAATAGAAAAGATAAGCATCATGCTATTTACAGATTTGTGGTCCTTTCACCCTCACTTATCTGAGGTTATACAGATTTATCAGACAAAGTTGAATGGCTTATTGGTTAATGACCAATATTTATTGCATTAAAACCAAATCTTCTTCATGACACGTACTGCCTCTCACTCCCTCCCTCCAGACTGACCCCTAAGAACGTCCACCAGCGGCCCACCGTAGCGTTGCTCTGCGGCCCCCATGTCCAGGGAGCTCAGGGCATCAGCTGTGGTCGTCACCTGGCCAACCACGAGGTGGAGGTTATACTCTTCCTGCCTAATTTCGTCAAGGTGCTGGACGCCGTCGCCAGCGAGCTCACCCTCTACAGTAAGACGGAGGGCAAACGGGTCTCCAGTATTAAAGGTAATGGATTTCTTCTACTGCGTGTCGGCGTTAAAATTCACCAAATGGTTCATAAATAAATAAACCCCACTTGCCCTTTTTTTCTGAAGTTTTAGCAAATTCAGGTTTTGCAAAAATGGCGACTGAGAGACGAGGCGGGAGTAAGAGGCAACTAGCCAACCAGAGCTCAGGTCTTAGCATGTTGTCTGGCCAATGTTGATGACCTCTGTTTGTCTTACCTCTGTTTGTTTTGTCTTCCCCTAGAGCTTCCCGACAGCCCTGTGGACCTGATCATCAACTGCTTGGATTGCCATGAGAACACCTTTCTGATGGATCAGCCATGGTACCGGGCCGCTGCAGACTGGGCCAACCAGAACAGGGCTCCCGTGCTCAGCCTGGATCCTCCAGTCAGCGGACAGGGCCATGCCGTAGAGGCCAAGTGGACCCTGTCCCTGGGTCTGCCGCTCTCGCTGTCGGAGGGCGCCGGCAGGGTCTACCTGTGCGACATAGGTGTTCCCAGACAGGTGTTCCAGGAAGTAGGGATCAAGTATCATTCTCCGTTCGGGTGTAAGTTTGTGGTGCCGTTGCACTCTGCGTAACTGGCTTGTTATTCATTAGGCACCGAACGGAAGAAAACGGACTGGAACAAGGAGGGAGGGGACAATCTGTCCAATAAGAAATGCTTGTTTTTGTTTTCAAAACGTTTTGCAACGGTGTGCCTTAATGAATATGCCCCTGGACTGCCATGACATTTGATCTTAGACTGAACTTTGAACTCTCACCCTGACCATACAGGTCACTTCAGTAGGCGCGAAACGGAAGAAAACTGTAAAAAAAAAAAAAAAAAAAAAAATGGGGAGGCTAGTATCTGAACTGGTATTCAACGAGTTCCTTAATGAACACAACCTAGGTTTGGGGGAATCAACCAGAGCAAGCCTTAAGTTCCAGACTTTTAACTAAGTGTTAAAAAGCATGAATCCTTTTATCCCTCATGCAGTTACATGATGTGTTGGAGAAGTCTTGTCCCTCGTACATTCAGTACCCTGTGTGGTACAACACCTCTCCAGGACTGAGCAGTGGTATGAGAGGGAGGGGAGTATTGTGAAGACTTGGCCTGAGGCATGGCTGTAGAGACTTCTATGACTGTAGATTCCTATGACTAGATTAATGACTGTAGATTCCTATGACTGTAGATTCACCTCAGAAAATGTTGGGGAGGGAGATACCTTCACAGTGTTGGAGATGGAGAAATTGGAGTTTGATGTGGTCGAAGAAAAGAGGAGAGCAAAGGCTGTCAATGTCACCGGCCCAAAGGGCTCTCCCCAGTTCAGGGGAGCAAGTACGCCGCCGACAGGAACCGTCACAGGCCTAAGGAGTCCAAAGCCATGTCTCAGGGCAATAGGATTACTTTGTTTAATGTGATCTCAGAACAATTGTCTTCTTTGTTTATTTTTATTTTATGTATTTGTTCCCCTTTGGAATGTTTAGCATGTTCCATGCTACTAACTAGAGGCAGGGGAAAAAAACCTTGTTTATGATTTTAATGTCATTGTATGTCCTGATATTGTTATGTCATGCTAGTATGTCATGATACTGTTGACTATAAAGACTCGGGTCACCTTCTCTGTTGAAGTTATACTGGGTAGTACAGTATTCTACTGGGTAGTACAACTGGATAGTACAACTGGTTAGTACAGTATTATACTGGGTAGTACAACTGGATAGTACAGTATTATACTGGGTAGTACAGTATTATACTGGGTAGTAAAATAGGGTAGTACAACTGGGTAGTACAGTATTATACTGGGTAGTACAACAGGGTAGTACAACTGGGTAGTACAGTATTATACTGGGTAGTACAACAGGGTTATACAACTGGTTAGTACACTATTATACTGGGTAGGACAACAGGGTAATACAACTGGGTAGTACAGTATTATACTGGGTAGGTAAACAGGGTAGTACAACTGGGTAGGTCAGTATTATGCTGGGTAGTACAACTGGGTAGTAGAGTTTTATGCTGGGTAGTACAACTGGGTAGTACAGTATTATACTGGGTAGTACAGTATTCTACTGGGTATTACAAAAGGGTAGTACAGTATTATACTGGGTATTTCAACTGGGTAGTAAAACTGGGTAGTGCAGTATTATACTGGGTAGTACAACTGGGTAGTACAATATTATACAGAGTAGTACAACTGGGTATCACAGTATTGTACTGGGTAGTACAGTATTATACTGGGTAGTACAGTATTATACTGGATTGTACAACTGGGTAGTGCAGTATTATACAGGGTAGTTCAACTGGGTATCACAGTATTGTACTGGGTAGTAAGGTATTATACTGGGTAGTAAAACTGGGTAGTACAGTATTATACAGGGTAGTACAACTTAGTAGTACAGTATTATACTGGCTAGTACAACTTGGTAGTACAGTATTATACAGGTTAGTACAACTTGGTAGTACAATATTATACAGGGTAGTACAACTGGGTATCACAGTATTGTACTGGGTATTGTACTGGGTGGGTCAGTATTATGCTGGGTAGTACAACTGGGTACATTTACATTTTAGTCATTTAGCAGACGCTCTTATCCAGAGCGACTTACATGAGCAATTAGGGTTAAGTGCCTTGCTCAAGGGCACATCGACAGATTTTTCATCTAGTCGGCTCGGGGATTAGAACCAGCGACCTTTCGGTTACTGGCACAACGCTCTTAACCACTAAGCTACCTGCCGCCCCAGTATTATACTGGGTAGTACAACTGGGTAGTACAGTATTATACTGGGTAGTACAGTATTCTACTGGGTAGTACAAAAGGGTAGTACAGTATTATACTGGGTATTTCAACTGGGTAGTACAGTACTATACAGGGTAGTACAACTGGGTATCACAGTATTGTACTGGGTTGTACAGTATTATACTGGATTGTACAACAGGGTAGTGGAGTATTATACAGCGTAGTTCAACTGGGTATCACAGTATTGTACTGGGTTGTACAGTATTATACTGGGTAGTACAGTATTATACTGGATTGTACAACTGGGTAGTACAGTATTATACAGGGTAGTACAACTTGGTAGTACAGTATTATACAGGGTAGTACAACTTGGTAGTACAGTATTATACAGGGTAGTACAACTTGGTAGTACAGTATTATACAGGGTAGTACAGTATTATACTGGGTAGTACAACTTGGTAGTACAGTATTATACTGGGTAGTACAACTTGGTAGTACAGTATTATAATGGGTAGTACAGTATTATACTGGGTATTGCTACTGGGTAGTACAGTAGTATACTGGGTAGTACAGTATTATACTGGGTAGTACAACTTGGTAGTACAGTATTATACTGGGTAGTACAACTTGGTAGTACAGTATTATAATGGGTAGTACAGTATTATACTGGGTATTGCTACTGGGTAGTACAACTGGGTAGTACAGTAGTATACTGGGTAGTACAGTATTATACTGGGTAGTACAGTAGTATACTGGGTATTACAACTGGGTAGTACTGTACTAGGTAGTACAGTATTATACTGGGTAGTACAACTTGGTAGTACAGTATTATACTGGGTAGTACAGTTTCAAAACACCAGTCTCAACATCAACAGTGAAGAGGCGACTCCGGGATGCTGACCTTCTAGGCAGATTTGCAAAGAAAAAGCCATATCTCAGACTGCCCATCTTAATCTTTTATTTTTATTGGCCAGTCTGAGATGTGGCTTTTTCTTTGCAACTCTGCCTAGAAGGTCAGCATCCCGGAGTCGCCTCTTCACTGTTGACGTTGAGACTGGTGTTTTGCGGGTACTATTTAATGAAGCTGCCAGTTGAGGACCTGTGAGGCGTCTGTTTCTCAAACTAGACACTAATGTATTTGTCCTCTTGCTCAGTTGTGCACCATGGCCTCCCACTCTTTCTATTCTGGTTAGAGCCAGTTTGCGCTGTTCTGTGAAGGGAGTAGTACACAGCGTTGTACGAGATCTTCAGTTTCTTGGCAATTTCTCGCATGGAATAGCCTTCATTGCTCAGAACAAGAATAGACTGACAAGTTTCAGAAGGAAGTTATTTGTTTCTGGCCATTTTGAGCCTATAATCGAAACAACAATTGCTGATGCTCCAGATACTCAACTAGTCTCAAGAAGGCCAGTTTTATTGCTTCTTTAATCAGCACAACAGCTTTCAGCTGTGCTAACGTAATTGCAAAAGGGTTTTCTAATGATCAATTAACCTTTTAAAATGATAAACTTGGATAAGCAAACACAACGTGCCATTGGAACACAGGACTGATGGTTGCTGATAATGGGCTTCTGTATGCCTATGTAGATATTCCCTTAAAAATCTGCTGTTTCCAGCTACAATAGCCATTTACAACATGAACAATGTCTACACTGTATTTCTGATCAATTTGATGTTATTTTAATGGACAAAAAAATTGCTTTTCTTTCGAAAACAAGGACATTTCTAAGTGACCCCAAACTTTTGAACGGTAGTGTGTGTGTATATATATATATATATACAGTGAGGGGAAAAAAGTATTTGATCCCCTGCTCATTTTGTACGTTTGCCCACTGACAAAGACATGATCAGTCTATAATTTTAATGGTAGGTTTATTTGAACAGTGAAAGACAGAATAACAAAAAAATCCAGAAAAATGCATGTAAAAAATGTTATAAATTGATTTGCATTTCAATGAGGGAAATAAGTATTTGACCCCTCTGCAAAACATGACTTAGTACTTGGTGGCAAAACCCTTGTTGGCAATCACAGAGGTCTGACGTTTCTTGTAGTTGGCCACCAGGTTTGCACACATCTCAGGAGGGATTTTGTCCCACTCCTCTTTGCAGATCTTCTCCAAGTCATTAAGGTTTCGAGGCTGACGTTTGGCAACTCGAACCTTCAACTCCCTCGACAGATTTTCTATGGGATTAAGGTCTGGAGACTGGCTAGGCCACTCCAGGACCTTAATGTGCTTCTTCTTGAGCCACTCCTTTGTTGCCTTGGCCGTGTGTTTTGGGTCATTGTCATGCTGGAATACCCATCCACGACCCATTTTCAATGCCCTGGCTGAGGGAAGGAGGTTCTCACCCAAGATTTGACGGTACATGGCCCTGTCCATCGTCCCTTTGATGCGGTGAAGTTGTCCTGTCCCCTTAGCAGAAAAACACCCCCAAAGCATAATGTTTCCACCTCCATGTTTGACGGTGGGGATGGTGTTCTTGGGGTCATAGGCAGCATTCCTCCTCCTCCAAACACGGCGAGTTGAGTTGATGCCAAAGAGCTCGATTTTGGTCTCATCTGACCACAACACTTTCACCCAGTTCTCCTCTGAATCATTCAGATGTTCATTGGCAAACTTCAGACGGGCCTGTATATGTGCTTTCCTGAGCAGGGGGACCTTGCGGGCGCTGCAGGATTTCAGTCCTTCACGGCGTAGTGTGTTACCAATTGTTTTCTTGGTGACTATGGTCCCAGCTGCCTTGAGATCATTGACAAGATCCTCCCGTGTAGTTCTGGGCTGATTCCTCACCGTTCTCATGATCATTGCAACTCCACGAGGTGAGATCTTGCATGGAGCCCCAGGCCGAGGGAGATTTGACAGTTCTTTTGTGTTTCTTCCATTTGCAAATAATCGCACCAACTGTTGTCACCTTCTCACCAAGCTGCTTGGCGATGGTCTTGTAGCCCATTCCAGCCTTGTGTAGGTCTACAATCTTGTCCCTGACATCCTTGTTGAGCTCTTTGGTCTTGGCCATGGTGAAGAGTTTGGAATCTGATTGATTGATTGCTTCTGTGGACAGGTGTCTTTTATACAGGTAACAAACTGAGATTAGGAGCACTCCCTTTAAGAGTGTCCTCCTAATCTCAGCTCGTTACCTGTATAAGAGACACCTGGGAGCCAGAAATCTTTCTGATTGAGAGGGGGTCAAATACTTATTTCCCTCATTAAAATGCAAATCAATTTATAACATTTTTGACATGCGTTTTTCTGGATTTTTTTGTTGTTTTTCTTTCTCTCACTATTCAAATAAACCTACCATTAAAATTATAGACTGATCATTTCTTTGTCAGTGGGCAAACGTACAAAATCAGCAGGGGATCAAATACTTTTTTCCCTCACTGTGTGTGTGTATATATATATATATATGAATAACATGATATACTAAAGTAAACATGTTATGTTTTACTTTTGTTATATTTTTTGGTTAAGAAGAAGATCAGTTGCCAATGTGATTTCCCTCACGTTCAGCATGCCCTAAGGTGTGACAAATTTGGAACAAACTCCATTCTAGATATATATTATCTAGATATTATATGTATACAATAAACCAGGCAATGTTCAAGCAACCATTTGTGTTCATTGAGGC